TCTCATTATTTTAATTTGAAACTCATTTTACAAGTCCTACATATTATTATAGTAATTATCATGCACTTATTATAATTTTCCGGGATACTTTTTCGGTACGCATTTATACCGACTAGCAGAATCGGTATCTGCACCTTTCGTCAGAAAAGCGACTTTCAGCATTATAACTCAATTAATATAATTACTAGAGCCTCAATATAATTATTAGGGTCAATTATGGAATTATCTCATTAAACTCATAATTAACTGATTAATTTCCTCAAATTAACGGTGCGGGTTCTCACACTGGACTCTTGGTTTGGTTAGCTAGCTTACAAGGTAAGCTTTCGTGTCCTCGGTTTAGCCATGTTGTGGTTCTACCATGTCCCATGGGGGTATGGTTATATTGCATGCTGTGTTACATGCTTTTGATGTTTTGAAAATGCTATTGAGCTGTTATATGCTAGTGCCTTTATGATATGCATGTGGTGTTCCACCTATACGGTAAGCCTGAGTATGTAGTACATACAATATGGTGAGGCTGTGGGTGAGGTGCAAGCGATGTTCCTTGTACTATCTGTAGGTAATAGACGTATTCCTGCATTTCTCTAGCCAGTAGAATAGTTTAAACACACATGTCATGAATATCTGTTGCACTGCATAGTTTTGGAAGTTATATTGAATTACTGCTTTTAGAACTTATATTGCACATGTAAGTGATCTTGGGGTGGAAGATCCTTGAGAACCCCTTGTCTTACTAAGAACTCTGTTTAGAGATCTCACCCCACGTTTGGGACACCATTTTAGGTTCAGGTAATGCAGAGGTTGAGACCTCTAGTGGCAGGAGGCCAGAGCTTAGCTGATAGATGATACTTGTTTACGCTGCTTATGTTGTTATGCTGTTGTGATTGGATGCTGGATCCTGTTTACTGTCTTATGCTTTTAGCTTCAGTTTATGGATTTCTATGTCGAGACTTTGTTGGTTATGCTGTCGATTTGGTGAGCATGGGGATTGTCCATGCCACATAGACTTGATTATTGTCTTGTTTTATTTGGAGTTGTAATAATGTATCAGGGTTATTGTCCGGATTGCGTGTTGTAATGCCGTGACTTAGATACTCACTTTATATCTATACATTGAGGTATTTCTGTTAGATGTCTTTTGCATTTACATACAGGCGATGATTTTATGAAAATGATTAAATAATCAACTTGGCTAAGTATAATGACGTCATAATTGAAAAGAAAAATATATTCCGCATATTTAATTAAGCACAGCTTAATACGATGACATGTTAACAAACCGGGTATACACGGGGTGTTACAGTGGTGGCGGCGGCAGTGAGGGCATGGTAGTGGCTACGACAATGGTGGTGGTGAAGGCGATGGTGCGGTGGCGGTGAAGTGGTGATGATAGTAGTGGTGGTGGTGACGGTTATAACAACCTTCATTGTGGAATATTGTAATTTTTATATAATTATAAAGATGATTAATATATAGTGTTTAAGTTTAGAGAAAGTAAGCATGTATTGTGAAATTTATTAAGTAAATGGATGAACTGCTATGAAAATAAATGTGAGCATACAATTCATGTCAAGATGATTAAATTGAACCAAGCGGAATTAATGATAAAGTATAGGGGTCAAAGTGTAAATAAGTGAAAGTTTAGGGGCTAAAGTTCAAATAATTAAAGAAATGACCTAAGCTTGATTTTGATTGTTTCATTAAAATTCTTTAGAGAATTTTAAAGACCGGAAAAAGGAAAGGATTGATTTCAGAAATATTTAAAGATTCATGCCTCTTATTCATATTTTTTTTCTCTCAATTTCTTCAAAAAAGAAGAAAAAATCATGAATTGCCACAGTAAGGGCATACACAGATTTACAAACCTGCACCATAAAGAAGTATTAAACATTTTACCTACTTGCATGCCAGCTCATTTTCACTTTTCTAATTATCTGCTAACCTTCCTTTAAAATGAGTAGAAATCAATAATGAATCTTCCCTATGATTCAAGAATTTACTATAAGTACATATAAGAATGAAGCATTGTTTATAAGCCTGGTGTGATATGGTATGTGGTAAAAAAATCAAAAGTTCAAAACTCTCGTTCACTTGATGTAACACCCTTCCAATTATCTTTGCCAGCTTCAACAAGTTTCTTTATTTTGTTGGTTTTTGCATGAGTGAAGAATTAAAAAAAGGGATAATCCCCTTTAAGATATTGAAGTTTATGTAGAACATGAATCCCCACTCACATGCATACACACTACAGAGGTTCTTTGACTCATAATAAAATCATGAAATTAGAAGTTCCATGAATTGTGACAACATACTCCAGACACGAAATGAGATAAAAAAAGAAAAAGAAATAACTGACTGAGTAGCTAATTCAATAAACTTAGTTATATATACCATCATAAAGAAGCTAGTATGAATGAGTTAAGTAGTTGTGCCTGTAATTTATGTTAAAAATGGTTTTCCTAATAATTAAGGGTGCTCGCAGTTTGGATTGGATCGGTTTTGAAAACAAAAAACCTATGATCCAATCCTTTCGATTTGATTATGTAATTATCCATTCGGTTTGAATTTTTTTCAAATCCAACTCACTCCAATCCAATTTTATTCGTTTTGGATTGGATCAATTTTCGACTTTTGAAAAGTCTAAAATTTGTATGATGATTATTGTGCAAATAACATATCTTTTGTATGTATTGACTTTATAAAGTTTGTATAATTATTATTGTGCAATCTAGAAGCATCAGTAAACGATAATCTAATTAACAAAAAGTTGAATTATATTATCTTTAACTTCCAACCAAAAATTTACAATGTGATTGCCTGAAATACGGAAACTCAAATTTTTATCATATAGTGAATAACTCATGTTATATAATGCATATATATATATATATATATATATATATATATATATATATATATAATAAAAATATATAATTATATATATATATATATATATATATATATATATATATATATATATATATATATATATAAAACATTTCTCAAGCTGCTTGAGATAAGTTTATCTCCGCCCACCCCAAAACTACGTCGTTTTGATTATTTATTACCTTATATTTATTGATTAACCTTTGAATGATTATGATTTCCTTTTTCTCTCTCTTCCTTTATCACCATTGATCCATCTTTGTACGGTTATGATTTAGTAGCCGGAGATAAAGTTATCTACGGTAGCTTGAGAAACGATAAGCTCATATATATATATGTATCTTACCAACAAAAAACATAACATAGATCAAGCACAACCCACTTTCTCCAACATGATGGATTAATTGGTTTAAAATTTTGCTATATAATTTTTTAGCTATGATTGGGGAATAGGTAGAGGGTAAAGTTGGGGAATTATTGGATAGATTTTCACCTACCAAACCGAAAATCGATCCAATCCAATTAAATTTTGCGATTTATTTTTGGTTTTTGATTTTTTGGTTTTCTGTTAATTCGGTTTTTCGGTTCGGTCACCGCGATTTGAATCATTTTTGATCAGTTGATGAACACCCCTACATATAAACAAGTTGTCGCTCTTAAAATATTATTTTTATCAAATTCACATAACTTGACATTAATCCAATACAGCTTAAATATAAGAGCTAAAGCTATCATGCAGGTATTTCTTCCAATATGAAGCAATAGGATCATATAAGGAACTTAAAATCATAAAGTAGGACAAAAAGTGAAAACTCAGGTGATTTGCCATTCTCTAAGGGGGTGTTTGGTTGAGGGTATATCTTTATTATCCCATGCATTTGGTTGAGGGATTCTTAGAGATCCATGTTTGGTGAAGGTTTTTCAAAAAATTTCCCATCTAACTTATTTCCCTAGCATTTGAAGAGTGTGTGTAAAATGAGAAATATTTCACTATTTAGAATGACAACTTCAATGGTGGTTTTTGTAATTGCATGGGTAAATGGCAAGGGGGACATCATGATAGAGACCAAATACCCCAACTAAAGATCATATATTGACATTCAAAAATTATAAATGGATTAATTTGGTAATTTTAACTCATTTCCCCATCTATATTTTATCTCAAACCAAACATAGATTTTATAAATCTTACCTAATTTGTCCGGTAAAGTTTTTTCTAACCAAACAACTTTTTTTACAGTTTCCTACCAAACTCACTTTCCAACCATTTCCCTATCAATTACATTCCCTAGTATTCAATAATTTTCTCCTCAACCAAACGCCCCCTAAAGGATTTCCATAGGTTAAACCAACACTAACTTCTCATCCACACATATATATATATATATATATATATATATATATGTATGGGCTTATCATTTCTGCAGCTGCCGTAGATAACACTCTCTACAGCTGACACAGAAAAGTGGGCCCCACGGCGTTTAAAAAAAAAACAAGGATCTGGTGTCGTATCCTATGATCCGCACGCGGATCCTGGCTAGCTGTAGGTGCAGCGGCTACAGAAATCATTTTGCCTATATATATATATATATATATATATATATATATATATAGGATCAATTCACACTGGTGTAAGAATAATAAGTCTTACAACAAATCTTAACCATTGATTTCCGTACATCTTACGGTTGATATTTACTGGAAATTAAAAATTAATTAATGAGTGAGACCTAATAAATCTGAATCGTTAGATGCGGAAAATCAATAGTTAAGATTTGGTGTAATACTTATTATTCTTACACCGGTATAAGATGATCTTGTCCCTATATATATATATATATATATATATATATATATATATGAAAAAGATGTTAGGATAGCGGATCCTAATCGGTATCTCATAGTAAAGAACAAGAAAGAAAAGGGAAATTCAGAGAAAAACAATCAAAAATTGAGTTCTTGTATATTCAGGTAGTTTGCACAATGACACCTATCCCTTCATATAAGCCACATATCCTAACAACATTCTAACAAACTAAGACACGTATGCACCATGGCATGACTCACACCAGCACTATAACACCAGCACTACTAACTGACTAATGAATAAACTAGTACACTCCTATGGGCCTAATGGCTATCTGATACCCAACATGGGCTGATACTCCACTACTTGTACTAAAGGCTAATGACAGTAACATCCTCTTGGGCCCATCAAGATATCGTAACATTGCCTTCCCCTAAAAAATGGACCTTGTCCTCAAGGTCCAATGAAAAAATAGAGAGTAGAAATCCTTAAGTATGTCATTGAAAAATGGGAGGAGCATGGATATTAAAGTGGTTACCATGACAGTTCCAAATTCCCTCACAAAATCCTTCATATTCTTGTGATTTATGCTTCCACGATAATTCATAACAGTGAAGTGAGTTTCATACTCAAAAAATAACTTCTGCTGTCCAGAGAATATTGGTTGCTGGCTATCCTGACCCAGAAATAATGTGACAGTAACATCTCCATAGGGTGCATCGGCAATAAAATCATCAAATCCAATTGCTATTGCAGCCTCTGCTTTAGCTCCATAAACCAATCTCTTAATTCTTGAAAGATAAATTGCACCAAAGCACATCGGACAAGGCTCACAAGATGCATAGATTTCACAGTCTGAGAGCTCAATTTGATTTAGCTTTTGACAAGCCTCTCTTATAGCAGTATCCTCAGCATGAGCCGTGGGATCAGTGTTTCTGAAAACCATGTTATGACAGCTTACAACTACTTCATCATTTCGAACAACAACCGCACCAAATGGGCCTCCATCACCACATTCAACTCCTTTATATGCTTCTTCGACCGCTTTTGTTAGGAACTTGTGGTCTTTATCCTGTACAGCTTGTTGGTGACCAGCAAATGCAGAAGCCACAAAAATTGTTCCATCCTTAGCTTCCAACACGTTGAGAGTAGCAGCAGCTGATCCAGGATCCTCCATGATTGTATGAGATGAACAAGAGGATAAAGGTATTCGAGGAACCAGTGGAAAGTTGAAACTCCTGGAGATAGAACATGAGCGGAAAACACCGACACAGAAACAAAGAGAAACAAACAAAACCAAAAAAAACAAAGGAAGCCAAGGAATCGGATAGTGTATGAGGGGATTTCACGGTGTCCTGAATTTCAATAAGGATCATTGAGTATGAGTAGGAAAATGCTATGTCGCCAAGAGCTTGGAAGCTCCTCCAAACTGTTTAAGTTTGTGTCACACTACCAGCTATCGTAACAAAAGACTTCTCATGTTGCATGAGAAGTCTCCTCTCCTACCATTCTCACTTCGATGTCTTGCAAGCCCATATATATATCTCCTTTGTATGTATATTTGGCTTGAGTTGTATGTTTATCAATCTTTTAGTTGATTTAGAGTTTTTTTAAACATAATTAGTAAGAATTTCTCCAAAATGCAAGCACAAGTTAATAATGATGTGTTATCTAAGGCTGAATGGCTTTACTTTTTGTTGTTCGGTTTGTCATAATATCAGCTTGTAATCTGAATTAACTTAAATCCTAAAATCACACATACTCTAGGAGCTAACACTTTTTTGTTCAACAGATTTTTTGGAAATTAGGATTGAAGTTTCTTATTTCAAGGTTTCTTCTGACACTAAATCCCTAGGCAGACTGGTTTAATAGTTAACTTTCAGCGTCATCCTCAAACATTTATTAAAAAGTCTCACTTTCCTTCAATCGTTATTAAGACCAACTTAAGGAATGAGCAGGGTAAAGAACGAAAACTTAACAGCATAAGAAAATTAACAAAAGGAAAAGTTCAAAGAAATTACCAAAATGTTAAATTATAACAATGGACAAATGTAGGAAAAAAGAGAGGATAACTATGTTAAAAGGTTGCAATGAACTGGGTATATCCGACTCCCAGAATTTAAAGTGTTGCCAATCTAAGATCTCCAAAACATAAAGAAACATAGTAAGAATTTCCAAAAATAAAAGGTAAAAAAACAATCTTAACTGAAGTAATCTAAAATGCTAAAAACTGAGCATAAAGCAGAAAAACAATAGCAACTCCAAAAAGCAAATACATTAATGGTTTTAATGTTGTACAGTAATGGTAGATAAGTTAATTATATTCGCTCCCAAAACATCGTCGTTTTGGGTTGAACAAATAAAAAATTGTAATGAAAAAAATTATTATAACCCTAAATAAATTATAATTACAAAAATACCTTGATTTCTGCCTCAAAACGACGTTATTTTGGGCTAAATGTAGATAAATTATTTACATTGACTATAGAAAAAGTAAACCCTACGTTAATATATAATAACTTGATTGACCAAAAAATTAAAATTAAAATTTTTAATTACTTTGCTCTTGGGTCCAGCCCAAAACGACCATTCGAAGAAAGCCCGAAGAGTTAGCTCAACCTCTTCTACTGCATCAGCTTCACATGCAAGTTATCAACTTGGAGTTGAGAAAATGGGACTCTTTTCTCTGTGCCCACCGGTTTCCTCAACTTTGAGCCATTTGAAATTCTTCTTCGGAGCATGATTTTGCAAACTGAGAGAAACCCATTAGGCCAAACTTGGTTGAAATGTCAAATTCCAGGTGGGGATCGAGTTTGTGAGCAACTGAAGCAGATTCATGATTACCCACAAGAGAAATAATTTGAAAGTTCAAAGATTTCCGTAGAAAAACAATTCATACGTTATCATGGTTATGATCTGAGCAACCACACTAACACAGTATCGGATGCGGTGAGTTGTTCAAAAATTTATTAAACAAAATTAACAAGAAATAAAAGAGATTTGTAGTATGTGCCTAAATTCTCGTTTATTAACAAAAAAACAAATTTGTCAGGGGGAAGTAAATAGCCTTTTAGTTCTTCTATATCGTTCCTTCTTTGGATTTGGATGAAATATAGTCAAATCACTATATTGAAGGGATAGGATATTGTTATTACAAAATAATGTTATTATCTAATCTTAATCGTTAATTTTTGTCAATCAACAGTTATCATTATTGGAAATTAATAATTAATTAATTTAAAAATAATAACCGTTAATTGACGGAAATTAATAGTTAAAATATGGTAGTGACTTTGATAATAATAATATCCGATTTCAACTAAGAATAATATTCATTATTCTTGTATTTCTTAACTTTTATTTTAATTTTTTTTTAATATGATGGCTCCGTCGTATTTTTGTGTCTGTAGAATTTGTTGATGTTCTTCATCGCTTGGGTAGAATTCCGGATGTGGAAGAAATCAAGATGACTGTTGCGCAAATGGGATCTTACAAAGCTCCTGGAGTAGACAGTTTACATGCAGCCTTTTTTCAATCCCAGTGGCATCTTATTGGTCCATCGGTGTGCAGTTTCATTAGGGAGGTGTTTGAGGATCCCATGAAAATTAAGGAGGTTAATCAGACTTTGTTGTGTTTGATTCCTAAGCTTGAGGCTCCTGAATCGTTTAAACACTTCAGGCCTATAAGCTTGTGTAATGTCATCTATAAAGTTGTCACCAAAGTAGTTGCCAATCGATTGAAGGACCTTATGCCTAGCATAGTCATGCCCAATCAATGCAGTTTTGTAAAAGGGAGGCATGGCTCTGATAATATCATTGTTGCCCAGGAGATTATTCATTCGATGGGTGCAAAGAAAGGCAAGCAAGGATGGATGGCTGTCAAAATTGACTTGGAGAAAGCTTATGATAGACTAGGATGGGATTTTTTAGAAAATACTCTTCATGATCTTAAGTTTCCAACCAATCTCATTCATCTTATCATGAGCTGTGTTTCGACTTGTTCTATTAACATCCTTTGGAATGGGTCCACCACTAAGGAATTTTATCCTACGAGAGGGATTCGCCAGGGGGATCCTCTTTCTCCATATCTCTTTGTGTTATGTATTGAGAGGCTTGGTCATCTTATTAATGCTGCTATATCCCATGCAGGTTGGAAGCCTATTGTCCTTAAGAGAAATGGCCCCCCTATATCACATCTTTTTTTTGCAGATGATTTGTTAATTTTTGCAGAAGCTTCAACTGAGCAAGCTGGTCTAATTTCGAGAGTCTTAGACTGCTTTTGTAAAGCTTCGGGTCAGAGGGTAAGCAGTAACAAGAGTAAGATCTTTTTTTCTAATAATGTCCATCACAGCCGTGCTCAGGAAATCAGTGATCAGATGGGTTTTGCCTTAACATCTGATTTAGGGCAATACTTGGGTATCCTGTTTCATCACAGAAGAATTGGGAAAAGGTCTTTTAGCTATGTGTTGGATAGAATTAACAGAAGATTAAATTCTTGGAAGCAATCAAATTTATCTCTTGCTGGTAGGGTGACTTAGGCAAAATCAGTGCTTTCTATAATTCCTTTATATCCGATGCAAACTTCCATAATCCCTATAACTACTTGTGATGACATGGAGCGTAAAACTATGAGTTTCATATGGGGAGATACAGTAGATTGTAAGAAGACTCATTTAGTCTCCTGGGATACCTTATGTAGGAAGAAACAGGACGGTGGTCTAGGAATTAGACAATTGAAAGGGATGAACCAAGCTATGATTATGAAAGTGGCTCATGGGTTGATGACTGATACTGAAGCTTTGTGGTGTAAAGTTCTCAAAAATAAATACAAAGTGGGCACCCAGTTGTTCCCAAATGTAAGAGTCTCTAGAACTGGATCGAATCTGTGGAAAGGAGTAGCTCGAGTTTGGCAGCCTGTGGTGGATAATTCTCGAGTTCTTCTTGGTAATGGACAAAACACGTCTTTTTGGAATGATCGTTGGGTTCCTAATTGTACTCCTCTTTCCCAGCTTACGGTGCATCCGATTCCTGAAGATTGTCTTTCATGGACGGTAGCTGGATGTGTAACTAGTCAAGGGAGTTGGAACTGGAATTTATTTCAGCACCTGCTGCCTAGCTCAGTTTTGCAAAAAGTTCAAAACCTTGTGCCTCCTTTCTTACAAGGTGGTCCAGATAGAGTGATTTGGACAGGGACTAGCGACAGTAAGTTTTCAGTGAAGACAGCTTACTCTCTCATTGCACAAACGAAAGTGGTAAATAATGTATTTCCATGGGACAAAATTTGGAAATGGCCTGGTCCTGAGAAGATCCGTTGCTTTCTTTGGCTTTTTGTTAGGGATAAGCTCTTGACTAATGTGAAGCGTGTTCAGAGGCATATGGCTGATTCAAACATGTGTTCCAGATGCTTAGTTTCAGAGGAGAATTCCATACATGCTATTCATGATTGTCATATTTCTAGAGATGTTTGGAAACTTCTTGTTTTGCAGGTAAAGCAAAGGAATTTTTTCTCCCAGCGTTTCAATGATTGGTTGCAGTCAAACCTCGTGGTTGGTGATATGGGAGATAATCAGGAGTGGCCTTTGATTTTTGGTATTGCTTGTTGGTTCATTTGGAATACCAGAAACAAAATGATTTTTGAAGGATCTCAGGCTAATGCTTATAGCATTGTTCGACAGATTTGGTGTTACCATGATTATGTGTTGCAGTCTAGAGTTCTTTTTGTATCTTCTGGTCTTCATCGAAGGAATAAAGAGGAGCGATATATTCGCTGGACCTTTCCTCCAGATGGTTGGATAAAGATCAATGTAGATGGGTCTTGTACAATGGGAGGAATGTGTACTGGGTGTTGAGGTGTTCTTAGGGATGATATTGGGAGTTGGATTGCTGGCTTCTCAAAATACCTTAGTTGGGGTAATTCTCTTACAACAGAACTTTGGGGTTGCCTTCTAGGTCTTCAGATAGCTTGGAGAAGAAATTATCGTAGAGTGTGGTTGGAAGGAGACTCGGTGGTCGCTATTGATTTTATCAACAAAGACTGTAATCAGGAACACCCTCTGGCTACTTTGGTTCATCAGATTCGTTATTACATGCAAAAGGACTGGCTTGTTCATGTTTCCCATGCTTACAGGGAAGGAAATCGTCTTGCAGATGCTCTAGCTGGTCATGCTCATTCCTTTGGTTGGGATTTGCAAGAATTTACAGCTCCTCCAAATTATTGCGAATCCGTTTTGAGGGATGATGTTGTTGGCGTGGCTATGCCCAG